TGGACTTGGGAGTTTGTGAGAGAGAAACTTTAAACTACACGAGAGATACGATAGTGATGGAGATTAGGAATCTAAAGAGAATTTTTAGACTTTTCAGAACAGAACTGTACTTTAAACTGAAAAATTAAATTATGCAAACATGTTGCTGCTGATGATTATTTTGGGTTTTTTATTACATTAGTGCCTAGAGGCCTCCACCAAGATCAGGCCTGCTTTGCAGTTGCCACTGTACACACACATAGTAACAGATAATCCTTGCCCAAAGAGCTTGCAATCTAAGGCTCTGATTCAGAAAAGCATCCCCATTCAGGAAAACACTTAAGCACATGTAACTTTAAGAATATGCTTAAGTGCTTTTCTGAATTTCAGCCTAAACAGACCAAGGAATTATTATCCCCATTTAATAGATAGAGAGCTGAGTCATGGAGAGATTAAGCGACTTGCCCAAGGTCACTCTAGACGATCACAATGGTCCCTTCTGGCTTTGTAATCAATAGTATAACTAAAGGTCACACAAGAAGTTAGTGGCAGAGCCAGGAATTGAGCCCACATTTTTAGAGTCTCACTCCAGACATTAACCACAAGACCACTCAATGCTTAAAGCCATCTTGACTGATCTTACATCCCAAAGAGCGACATGTAGTAATGTGGTGTGAAAGTGACATGCCAAAGAATATTTTTAGATTGTAAAGTCTTCTGGTCAAGGATTGCCTGATACAGAGATTGACAGAGTGAGATGGGTACCCAGAAGTCACCTACAGGTGACCTACAGGACAGGCCCAACAAGGAAAACAACAGAACACCACTGGTCATCATGTATAGCCCCCAGCTAAAACCTCTCCAGCACATCATCAGCGATCTACAACCTATCCTGGAAAATGATCCCTCACTCTCACAGACCTTGGGAGGCAGGCAAATCCTCGCATACAGACAGCCCCCCTCCCCCGCCCAACCTGAAGCAAATACTCACCAGCAACTACACATCATGCCACAGAAACACTAACCCAGGAACCAATCCCTGTAACAAACCCCACTGGCTACTCTGTCCCCATATCTACTCTAGCGACACCATCAGATGACCCAACCACATGAGTCACACCATCAGGGACTCATTCACCTGCATATCTACTAATATGATATATGCCATCATGTGCCAGCAATGCCCCTCTGCCATGTACATTGGCCAAACCGGACAGTCTCTCTGCAAAAGAATAAATGGACACAAATCAGACATCAGGAATGGTTACATACAAAAGCCAGTAGGAGAACACTTCAATCTCCCTGGACAATCTATAACAAACTTAAAAGTAGCCACCCTTCAACAAAAAAAAAAAACAAACAAACCTGAAGTCTGTTTTTGAAAAGAGAAACTGCAGAACTAAAATTCATTTGCAAATTTAACACCATTAACTTGGGCTTGAATAGGGACTGGGAGTGGCTGGCTTACTACAAAAGCAACTTTCCTTCTCTTGGTATTGACACCTCCTCATCAATTATTGGGAGTGGACGACATCCAACCTGATTGAATTGGCCCTGTCAACACTGGTTCTCCAGTGGTAGTTCCCTTCTCTTCATGTGTCAGGTATAATAATGCTTCCATCTGTAATTTTTACTCCATGCATCTGAAAAAGTGGATTTTTTACCCTCAAAAGCTTATGCCCAAATAAATCTGTTAGTCTTTAAGGTGCCACCAGACGCCTCGTTTTTGCTGATACTGAAACTATGAAAGTGCTTAGCAAAACTGGGCTCCAATCCATGTTGATGCTATTAAATAAAATAAATAAATAAATTAATGGAGATATCCCATCTCCTAGAACTGGAAGGGACCTTGAAAGGTCATCGAGTCCAGCCCCCTGCCTTCACTAGCAGGACCAAGTACTGATTTTGCCCCAGATCCCTAAGTGGCCCCCTCAAGGATTGAACTCACAACCCTGGGTTTAGCAGGCCAATGCTCAAACCACTGAGCTATCCCTAAAACTACATTCAAAATGGAATTAATACCCATGAGTTTTGCGGAGGTAGTAAGATACAATTCACACTTTCCGGTGACTAACTTATTATTTTAAGAATAAAATTGGAGCACTAAACCCCACAATTTTCATTTATTGTTCCCAAATAATCAAAGCTAATGCATTATTTCAACTCCAATTTTGCTATAGACAAAATAGCCTAAAAGCACAAAATGTATATAATTTACCTGCAAAATCAGTTATCAGTGTAACATTACTAGACTGAGATGATTAATACCAACTGAGCAAGAATTGTTTTAACTCCTTAAATAACTAAATCTGCCAAAATGGAAACGCAATTCATATAACCCTTTAATTTCCTAATCTGACAGAGATCAAATAAAAATGAACACAAGTCTTGCATGGTACATTGTACACTGCATTTTTCCTGACATTTAGAAACTTGGAAGTTCAAATCGTATTTCCCATGCATTAGATCAGGGGTCGGCAACTGTTCAGAAGTGGTGTGCCGAGTCTTCATTTATTCACTCTAATTTAAGGTTTCGCCTGCCAGTAATACATTTTAACGTTTTTAGAAGGGGTCTTTCTGTAAGTCTATAATATATAACTAAACTACTGTTGTATGTAAAGTAAATCAGGTTTTTAAAATGTTTAAGAAGCTTCATTTAAAATTAAATTAAAATGCAGAGCTCCCTGGACTGTTTGCCAGGACCCGGGCAGTGTGAGTGCCACTGAAAATCAGCTCGCATGCCGCCTTTGGCGCGCGTGCCATAGGTTGCCTACCCCTGCATTAAATACTCATTTGAGATTATACTCCATTGCTCTTCTTCTGATGGGACATTGTACCTATTCTGCCACCAAGATGTGTCCAAAGAGAAAAAGACAGCTAAACAACTTGAGAGAATTAGCACAAAACCAGACACAACCCATGAATTTAAAATTTACCCATGGATAAGTAAATATAGAAAGGCTGTACTTGAACTAGATTAAAAAAATGTTGCTGAATTTTCACTTTGGAAGGACCGGAAGTATGCACCAGAGAACAGAAATACAGTTTCCTGTATTGCTACATTTGTAAATAATCAAGTAATGCAAAACAAGCACTAGTACTTCCTCTCCAGCGTTTGTCAGAATGAACTTGTCACCCCTAAAAGCAATATAATGAAAGATGCAGAAATACTGTGTATTGGATTGGTCTCTGCCATAGTTCAAAAAACTTTCCTGAGTCAGTTATAACAGTGGCAATCACATTTTTCATTTTTTTAAAGTAAGAAAACAACTTTATAACATACATGCAGAGTGAGCTTTAGAGCATTCACCCTAAGAGTGAAGAACTCACTCATACATTCAGCCTGATCCTGTGCTATTGCCACCAATCCTTCAGGCAAATAGAACACACAATTATAAGAAGGGGTCAAGATTTTCAAAGCTGACTAAAGGAAGTGGGTCCAAATTCCTTAGACTGTTTTCAAAATATCATCCCAAGCCTCTTACCAATTAAAAGGATTTATCTGAGCCATTTAACAGTTTGGAAGTCTCATTCTCCTCAGTCTAAATGATTGGCACAGTAGCACTTCTATTTGCCTATATGTAATTATAGAATCTCAGAATGGCTAATAAATGTATAATATAGTCAAAGAGTTTTGTTGAAAACATGAGAGCTATTTTTGAATGGCAGCAACATATTGTGAATGAATGGAGCGCACATGATCTTATGGGCCATTTGTTATTCAGAATCAAACTAAACCATTAATCACCTTGATAATTTTATCTTTACAAGGAAACAGTACTTATTTCATTCAAGCCAAGAATCTCAAGAATTTACAGGGTAAGAAGCACTTGTCACTATGACTTTGACTGTGAAGTGTACCATATACACAAGTTTTTATTGACAACTGGCACTTCTGAATTTTGGAAGCAACAGTTTTTCTGAAAAGTTCCTTTCTGAGTAACCCTGGGCTCCCATCAATGCAATTAAACTGCAAATCTGTTTCTTCTGGGAACATGCAAAAATGATGGACTCAATTCTTCTCTGTTACATTGGTGTACTCATGATTTACAGGGGTGTAAATACGTGAGCAGATTTTGGCCAAGTACTAACTTGAATACACAAGGGGTGTTGTGTAAGAATGATTTCTGCTTACATGAGGGCCATTTACTGAAAAATGCAACCTCCAGCATAAAGACCTAGATTCCACTCCCATTAGTCAATGGGAAGACTCATTGATGTAACCCTAAGCTCTGAAATGCCAATTTTTCTTGACTTTTTAAAGGAAGTACATTTCCTATTTTATTCAAGGTGATGTGCTTGTGAGCTGCCCTTAAATATTCAATAAAACAGCCCGACCACCGTAATAGTAATCAACAAGAGGATTTTACCAGTGATTTAAAGGAAAACAAGTCAGCATGGTACGAGACCATGGTCTTAAGGATAAAGCGTCTGTGACCCAAATCTTCTATCGACTTCAATGAGCATTGAATACGGCCCCACAATAAATGCAATCTAGACCATTCCTAAAACTAGGCCCATAATGGAAATATCAGCAAATTTTTCATAATCACCTAAAGAATGCAGATGGCTGCTGAACATTTCTGAAGCCCACTAAATTACGAGTTTGCCACAATTTCAATAGACAGCACATTACCTATGTTTAGTCTGTCAAAGGGAAGCAAGTTCTGAGTAAAACTGGACTCTACTGAATACAAATCTTTTTCAATAGTAACCTACTCATTAGATTTGTGTTATCCTTATGTATCTAGAATTATAAACATCAGTCTATATATAATGAAGCCTGCACTTAGAACCACCTAAGCCAATAAAAATATTAAATAGTTGTCTAGTATAGGCTGGTCTTTAATAAGAGGCCAAATAAAATTCCTTAAGAAACCTTAGAAAGACAAGGTCTCCCCTAAGATAGGGGAATTACCTTGTTGGATAGGTTCCTTTGTGTATACAATGAAATCTGCTTGAAGATATTAGCTTGTGAGTGATTTGATAATGAACAAAATATTCTGTAACACAAGAGGGGGTACCTTTAAATTACCTTACATATTTATTAACCACGAAACAAAACACTCCTTATTGAGTCATTCTTCCCTCCCTCCCCTCACACTCAAATGGTAAAGTTTCAACTAACCCTATATTATAATAACTTGCATCTTTCTTCCTAGGATGTCAAAGCATTTAACAATGGTGAGTATTATTCCTATTTTGCAGATAGGGAAATAGAGGCAAAGAAGCCTGATTTTTTTTGAAGTTAGTCACATTACAACTGTATAGGCAACTGGACAATTAGACACAATAGCGATTTGTGCAAAATAAGTATTTGATTTTCACACCCGTTTATGGAGTTTGCATGCACCTACATTCAAAACTCAGGTCCTAAGTGATTTGCCCGACATCACCCAGCAAATCAATGGCAGATTCAGGAACAGAACACAAGCCTAACAGAGTCCTTGCCCTAACTGCCAGCCACTCATTTTATATGCAAAATTATAAAGTTTGGAATGTTCTGCCATCAGGTGCTCTGACAGGCTCAATGCTAACAACTCCTATTAGGTGAAAGGCAAAAACAAAACTTACGGAAGTAAATTAAGCCTTTGAGAAAATTCCAGTAAACAGATGGTTTCCTACATTGTTTTAGAGGTAGGAGAGACCAGACACCTAGGTCAAAAATAAATTTAGTTACCTCTAAACCCCCTTAATTTTTAAAAGTTTTTTTTTAAACATTTATTTTTCAACACTAATGCGACTGCAATATAAAAAGTAGGCACTCCGCTTGGACAATGAGAGCTGTGTAAACAGTTTCATTCTCTGGCTCTCCTGCACTAACACAACTAGTGTTAAATAGGACATTTATTTCTTACATCTGTTTTCAATGGAATAAAAAAAAAAAAAAAGTTTTAACAAAACCTAAATTTTGGGCCTAACGGGACCTGACATTGTGTCAAATCTATTTAAGACCATGGTTAAAAACATATTATTAAATCCTGTAAACCATTAGCCACTTCATCAAATCTGGCAACAAAATTTGACATGATTTATACATATGTATTTTTAATCTACATAAGAGAGGTCAGATCCCTAACTCCAGGTTATCAAAGTGGAATACTTTCCTACTCTACATTACCCTTTATATAGAAAAAGAAAAAACCAAGTCCCAAAAAAAATCATATCCCTTTATAGCATGAATGTGGTGAGTCAGTAAATGGCACCTTTTATGTGAAACCATCCATTTATTTGCACAAGACATGAATTCAACACCAGTAGAGAGTGTATGAGATCTCAAGTTAACCAGAATTTTCCAAACAAGAAGTGAGCTAAGATTTTAAAATGTTAAGACCACATGGTTTCATGTCATCACCAAAACTGTGTCTTTCATGTACCATTCGCTCTGTGCTCCCAAAGTTGCCTCAAAATTTAAAAATCTGTATGAAATTCAAGATTCTGCACTTCAGATTTACAGCTCCTTAAACTTGGATCATCAGACTTTACTACAAACAATTGTTACTGCTAAGGTAAACTTGAATGTCTCTTACACCAAACATTTTATTATGATGCCAGATGGGAAAGTATTGGTGTCAAAACATGAAATGTTTTTTCAGAAATTGTGTCTGTACTCAAATTCACATAAAAACCCAGCATTTTTACAACCATATTTAAATTTAATTATTGTACACAGGTTAACAAAAAAGTATCACAAATAAAACTAAACATCGGATTTAACAAAAACAATAGAGTGGTACAACGGGTGTTCAATTTTTCAGGAAATAATATTACAAATGACCATCTCTCAGAGATTTAACCTCACTAGGGACACAAAGTCTGTTAAAAAAAACATGTAGCTGTTATCTACTGAGCCACTTATCTTAGCACTACAGTATATCTGAAGGTGGAGTCCTACAGTCAAGGTATAAAAATTAATCAAGAGTCAAGTTCCCAGAGTGTGTTAGTCACAACCATTGTATTTCTTTGAAAGGGGGAGGGGAAAAAAAAAAGGAAAAAAGAGACCCCCAAAACAGATTCATTAAAAGGCTGCTGTATATAGTTTATCCTTCCCATAGCATACTCAGTTCAAATTACTGTTAATATCATTGGTAGTATGGTCTATATCTGGTTTGATCTGGGTGATGTGGTCCAGGAAGTGGGGCTTGAGAAGGTGGGCCTTGCATTCTTGGGGGTGGAGGAGGCCCTCTTGGAGCTGGCCACATCCCTGGACTCATTCCCCCAGGCTGTGTAAAAGGAGGGCTGAGAGTTCCTTGATCTTCACTGAACTGCGGCAAAGAGTTAGGATTATAGTGATGGGGAGGGGGTGCATTTACATTTACTGGTGGGCCACCATGTTGAGGAGGGGGAGGTCCTGGAGGAGGGTGATTCATATATGGTGGCATTTGGGCAATTATGTGTCCAGGGGGAGGGGTTATTGGTGGTGGAGCAGAGGTCATCGGTGGTGGTGGAGCTTGGCTATAAACCATATGAGGAGTACCTGCTCCCTGGGGAGGATGTTGCATTGGATGGCTTATTGGTGGTGGTGGTGGCGGGGGTGGTGCATAATGTTGCTGTGGAGGCATAATATGATGAGGATGGGATACCACTGGTTGACCCTGATATTCAGGATGATGATGAGCAGGTGCTGGGGCTGGTGGAGGTGGTTCTCGAGCACCTGAATTTGAATCATCCTGAATAGGGACAGTTATTAAATTGCTGTGCTTTCTCGTGGAAATACGAAACGTATCCTGACTGACCGAGCGTGGTGGTGGTGGAGCCATTGACATCTCTGCTGGGGGTGCACGAATGTCCTCGTGTGGTTGGTTATAATGCTCGTGTTGCACATGCTGTAAAGGAGGTGGTGGCATCATGAGGTGCTGCTTTGGTGGAATATGGCTCATATGATGCTTATCAGGTGGCATTATGAAACGCTCAGGAATTTCAGCAGGAGGTGGGGCAATAGGAGGATGAACAGGTTCAAGTGGAGGACGGGTAACAGGTTTTCCAGCTCTCATATGACGATGGTTGATGTGAGCCTGTAAGTCTCTCTGAGACAAATATGTTCTCTTGCACCCTTGAACAATGCTACACATGAAGAGAGACCCTCGCACACATTGCTCAATTCGCTGCACGGGATCATTACAGCTAAATTAGAAAAAAAGATTGGTTTATTATCATCACCAACAGCTCTGAATCTAGAAATATTTACACTAAATGTTCATTCCACAATTCTACATATTAGAAATGACATTTCTTAGTGCCAACACAACACGAAAGGCTTGTATTTCCTTAATTCAAATTAAATTACAATATTTCAAAATTAGACAGTCTCCTATAGAAGCATAGTTACAAAGTACATCAACATTTCCTGAGGAGAAGTTTAGAACTGACATCCCATAATCTATCATATTCTAAGATGTGTCAAAAAGCACAAAAGAGAAGGGGTTCTTGAGATTAGGGACACGGTTAGGGTACACAATTAGTAAGTGAGTCTTAATTACTAGTGAACTGTCATTTGCTCTATTGGAGATAATAGTGGGAAGACTGAACACAAATACGTCAACTACTTATTTAAAGTATCTTCTATTTACTATTTAAACTAGGGCTGTCAATCAAATCAGTTAACTCACGCGATTAACTAAAAAAATTGCAATTAATTGCAGTTTTAAAATCGCACTGTTAAACAATAGAATACCAATTGAAAGTTATCAAATATTTTGGATTTTTTTCTACATTTTTAAATATATTGATTTCAGTTACAACAGTATACAAAGTTTACAGTGCTCACTTTATATTATTTTTGATTGCCATTTTTACAGTGCTAATATTTGTAAACAAAAGAAATAGTATTTTTAAATTCACCTCATACAAGTACGGTAGTGCAATCTATTTTTTTTTGTTACATAACTCCACTCAAAACCAAAACAATGTAAAATTTAGAGCCTACAAGAAGTAGGACTGAGTGGACTTGTAGTTTTACATTGTTTTTTTCTTTTTATGCAGTTATTTTTTGTACCTAAGTCTACATTCGTAAGTTCAACTTTCATGATAAAGCGATTGCACTACCGTACTTGTATTAAGTGATTTGAAAAACACTGTTTCTTTTGTTGTTTTTTTACAGTGCTAATATTTGTAATAAAAAACAATATAAAATGAGCTCTGTACACTTTGTATTCTGTGTTGTAATTGAAATCAGTATTTTTGTGTTTTCTACATTTTCAAATATATTTAAATAAATGGTATTTATTATTTTTTTAATCGTGAGATTTTATTTTTTTTTTTTTTAAACTAACAGCTTGACTTCCCTAATTTAAACATCAACAGTTAAACTGAATCTCTCAGTATCTGGATGACAGTGTAGTGTCAAACTACAACCCCTCTAGTGCAGCAAAAGCATTCTTTGCTGCTTCTTCCTACTGAGCTGATTTTCCACCAAACAAAAATGATGTACGTTAACTAAGACATATGTGAGAATTAGCAGTTTAAATTATTCCAGAATATCTCCCTTTTTAATAAACAATCACTAGTGAACTTACCCTGGGCACATCTTGTCACCCTTCTTCTCATGTAATATAGCACAGTCATAGCAGAAAACATGCTTGCAAGGTATCTAGAGACATACAAACAATCGCTTCATTAAACCATTATGTGTAAACCAGTATGTCATTTATAGAATGTATTTTTAAATAAGCTTTGCTACATTCCTCCCTCATGAACATGCTCTCTCATTCTGTATCTTCCTGAAAATAAAATTCTTACATTTAAGTTGTCTGTGAAATGCATGCTGGGAAATGGACATGATACAGCGACATGTAACAAAATATGCAGTACCTTTGATGGGACACTTTCAAAAATAGCTTGAAAAAGGTAAATTCCATTAAAAAGAAAATGCAAAACACATAGGCAAAACTTTAAATAAAAGAATGCACCACAAAGCTCTTCCTATAGCAGCGAGGCAAGGCTCTTTATGGAAACTACAGCCATATATTTCAGCTGTTCCTGCTACTGGGACTTGGTAACACCAGTACCGGTACTTCATGCTTTAGCAACTGGCATTCTAGGCTTCCCCTCGCTAATCATAGTCTTTTAGCAGGACTCAGTGCACTTCTTCTGCCAATCTCCCATGTAACTGTACACACATTAACTTGGATGGAGCTTGCACTCCTCCAAATCAAGTTGAAAATTTCCATCCTAGCAGTTGGAATAGTTGGTTCTGTGACAGGTCAGCAAAGGCTCAACTGAACAGGACACAGTGGCTTTAACAGCTAGTGCTCAAGGTCCATGTCTCGCTAATGGGTACAGTTCTCCAAATAGACTGGTATTCACCCATGTTTTAAAAGAAAGAAGAGACTACACAGCAGAGCTTGATTCACAGGGCAGCCTATAAAGTTCTTAACTGGCAGATCTGAGCCTTGGCATTAAAACTGAGACTTCAGTACAACAACTATAAATGACTCAAGGAATCAAGTTACCACATTGTTCTTCCCAATCTAGTAAAAACATGGTTCAAAGATGTAGCGTAGGTGTGTTTTTAATGTTCCCACAATCAAATTAAAAATCTGGACAATCAAATTACATTACAAACCCCATTACAGAGACATAGTTAGGGCCAGTCTGCACAACAACTTTTAAATGGTCAAAAGCCAAACTGGTGTAACAATTCCTCCCGACTTGGTCATAACCATAGTGTAGGCAAGACCTAATCAAACTACATTCCTGAAACGCTTTTCAACATGCCACAGATGCTAGTAGGAGCAGGTGAGTAAGAGGAAAGATTACAACTTAACACAACACAAATGATTTCACAGTCTATACAATTTTTTTTTTAAAAAGCTCCCATGAGGATCTTAATATAGGTTGGTTGTCCTGAATGAGAACTATAAAGGTTAGTGGCTCAAAATACAACGCTAATTTTTAAAAAATTAAGCCACTAAGTCAGATCCCTAAGCACCCATTAACCTGTAGTCAATATTTTAATTTTATTCTTTGCATTCTGTTATATCACTGTTTTAAAGGGGCATAGAAATTAACTTCTAGTATTTACTAACTCAGTTAAAGTCTTCAAGCAAGATACAATGCTTAGCTTAAAAAAAGAAGTTGCTTTAAGGATAAATCGGCCTATTCTGCTTCCACTGAAGTCAATAGGTATTTTTAAATTGACTACAATGGCAGCAGGATCAAGCTGCATGTCAGCCACTCTTCCAAAGCTATTTTACCCCTTAAGCAAGGGGACATCAGCAGAAAATATATGCAACAAGAACAGTTCGGAGTTCTTGTACAAATTAAGGCCTTGGTTTTATACTGAGATGCATTGGAATATACCCTTTTGCTCATGCAGAGCCCACCTGAAGTCAATGAGCTCTGCATGGGAGAGATATGCATTTGTGTGCATCTCAATGCAGGATCAGGGCCTAACTTTACAATAATTCTAATTAGTGGGAAGCTCACACTCCTAATTTAAAAAAAAAAAAAGTTAAGTAGCTGTTATGCATGATGTTACACTTGCACTAGCTAACTACCCATCTGCCAATGGGAGCACTGAGAACTTTTCCAAAAACAGGTATAGACTTCATGTTAGTTCACAGTAGGGTAGCTTTTCCATCAATACAGCTCTACTCACCATGCGCCCATACAATTTGATAGGCAATCCACACTTGTCACAGAAATGGACTGGGGTATCATCCTTTTCTCCGAGGAAGTTTATCTGTCAAAATAGCATTCATTAGGGCTCCTTATTTCATTAGGTTATTACCAATATGCTTGAAAGTTCACAAATATTTAATAAGGAACAGAGAACTACATACAATCTGAGAAACAGCACAGAATATATTTTCAGGAAGTCAAAAAGCAGTGGTAGCGCTTATTTTTTATTGGATTTCTCTAAAGATAAGTAGGGTGCTCTGCACTCTAACTGAGAATAGTAAGAATTAGCTTACACCCTATGATTTCAGATGTAATGTATAGTATCAGAACTATTGAATTCATGAGTGTACCTTAAAGTCCCAAAATATGTGTCCAGGGAATCTTCTTGGATTCCCAAACATGTCAGCTCCTTTGCACTCATACCGCTCCTCTTCATTATAATCAAATTCTTCTGGGGGGAATGGAAAGGGGGAAAGAAAAAAAAAGAAAAAGAAAAAGAACACTTCTAGTACATACCATAATTTTTCTAATTGACCCAAGTTGCTATTAAAAACACATGCCATTCTACATTACAATCATCAAGAAATGCTACAGCATTTCCAATGTCTGCAGCCTGGCTTAAATCCACTCTGCAAGCAAAAGTAACAGAAATAGTGCTACGCTCTGAAGACAGAGACCTTTTTGTATACTGCAGCAACACCTAGAGGCAGAGCTCTATCAGGTATTCTTATAAGTTTGGACAGCATCTAACATATTAGTTCTCCAATATGGAATAGGGCCCCCGAGCACCACTGCAGTAAAAATAATAATAAATTAATACCCTTTCCTTCTATAGCATTAAGCTATTTAAATTAGTTTACCTTCATCACCAGCCTGTGCCTTTGAAGGCATCCTGTTCATAATTCTTGGAGCGCGTGGTGCAGGTTTGGTTTTGTTAGGCTGTTTGGAGATGAGCTTTATAGGGATTCGTCTGCGAACATCAAGACCACCCAACGATCCAGAACTATTAGTGCCTTGCAAATCATTGTCTATACAAGAGAAAAATATGTTTACTGTCATTTTCCACTTATTTTATACATTAGTTTCTGAAAGGATTAGATATTAGCAGAGACATTTCAAGGAAAACACTGATTTTATTAAAGCTAGTTTAAGACTTCATTTACTCTACCAGAATTTACCTGTTTGAAAAAAATCTTAATCTACTGCTCGACATGGTACCTTCAAACTGTCAGGTCATGCCAACAGTATTGGTCATAAGTGCAATTATGCAGTAATATGACATTTATAATGAAGTCAATTTAGGAGTGAATCAGTCTCTCTCTCAAACTGTAACTTCTTTGTGGCAGAGACTGTCTTTTTATTGTGTGTTTGTACAGCATCTTGCACAGTAGTACCCTAATTCATGATTAGGGCTCCTTGGAATAACCACTGTACAACTAATGAACAACAAGGATCTTCCCTCAGGAATGGTTTTGTATATGCTATTTGCAAAGGAAACCAAAAGACAAACATATTCTGTTTATGATCTTGGGCAAGATAATAGAACAGCTGAGATGGGGCTCGATTAATAAAGAATTAAAGAAGGGTACTATTATTCATGCAAATCAACAACCGTTTACGGAAACTAGACCTTATCAAATTAACGTGGTATCTTTTATTTATGAGATTACAAGTTTGGTTAATAAAGGTAATAGTCTAAGTATATTACATCAACACTTCTGTAAAGCATTTCACTTGGTATCGCATGACATTTTGATTAAAATCTAGACCAATATAAAATTAACATGGTACATATTAAGTGGATTAAAACTGATAGGCCTCGAAATGTAACTATAAATGGGAAAATCGCCATTGAGCAAGTGCGTTTCTAATAGGGTCCCACAGAGATCGGCTCTTGGCCCTATGCTATTTAACATTTTTATCAATGACTTGAAAGAAAATAAAATCATCACTGATACAGTTTGCAGATGAGACAAAAATTGGGGGAATGGTAAATAATAAAGAGGGTAGGTCACTGATTCAGAGCAATCTGGATCGCTTGGTAAGGTGAGCACAAGCAAACAATATGTGTTTTAATATAGCTAAAGGTAAATGTATACACCTAGGAACAAAAAAAATGTAGGTCATACTTACAGAATGGGGAACTCTATCCTGGGAAGTAGTGACTGAAAAAGATTTGGAGGTTATAGTGGATAAACAGCTGAATGTGAGCTCCCAATGTGATGCTGTGGCCAAAAGAACTAATGTGATCCTGGGATGCATAAACAGGGGAACCTTGAGTAGGAGGCTGTTTTACCTCACTATATTTGGTGCTGGTTAAACTGTTGCTGGAATACTGTGTCCATTTCTGGTGCCCACAATTCAAGAAGGATGTTGATAAATTGGAGAGGGTTCAGAGGAGCCATGAGAATGATTGCAGGATTAGAAAACATGCCTTATAGTGACAGACACAAAGAGCTCATTTATTTAGTATAACAAAGAGACGGTTAAGGGGTGACTTGATTACAGTATCTACATAGAAAAAATATTTAATAATGGGCTCTTCATTCTAGCAGGAATGGTATAATATGATCCAATAGGTAGAAGATGAAGCTAGAACCGTGGTCACCAACACATCGATCGCGACTGGTCGATCCTAGAAGATCTCTGGTGGCGCAGCGGGGCTGCCGCTAAGACAGGCTCCCTGCCTGCCCCGGTCCCACGCCACTCCAAGATGTGGCCAGTGTGCCCCGCAGCTCTGGGGGAAGGGGTAACCCTCCACATGCTGCTCCTGTCTGCAAGCATCGCTCCTGCAGCTCCCATTGGCTACAGGTCCCTGTTCCCAGCCAATGGGAGCTGCAGGAGCGGTGCTTGCAGAGAGGGACAGCGCACGGAGCCATGTACCATCCCCCGCTCCCAGAGGCCGCAAGGGGATGTTGGCCCCTTCGCGGGGCCGGGGCAGGCACGGAGGCTGCCTTAGCATGGCTTGCTACCTGGTGAGAGGCTGCACCTCAACCCCCAGCCCTGAGCCACCACCCTGAACTCCTTCCTATACCCCAAACCCCAGCCCTGCCCCCCCTCCCAGAGCCAGCACCCTTTATCCCCTCCTCCACCACAACACTCTGCCCCAGCCCGGAGCCCCCTCCTGCACCCAAACTCACTCCCAGAGCCCACACCCCCTCATACACCCCAACCCCCTGCTCCAGGCTCAGCCCAGAGCCCCCACCCACACTGCAAACTCCTCAGCCCCAGCCCAGAGCCTGCACCCCCTCCCAAACCCCTACCCCAGCCTGGTGACAGTGAGTGAGGGTGGGGGAGAGCGAGTGACCGGGGGGGGGGGGTAGAGTGAGTGGGGCGGGGCCTTGGAGGAAGGGGCCGGGCAGATCCTGGGTTGCCCTTAAATTCAAGAAGTGATCTTGGGCATAAAAAGGTTGGAGACCACTGAGATAGACAAATCCAGCCTGGAAATAAGGTACACATTTTTGAGTGAGGGTAATTAACCATGGGAATAATTCACTAAGGTCATAGTGTATTCTCCATCGCTGACAATTTCTAAATGAAGATATAATCTATCTTTTAGTAAGACATCCTAAGAATGATTTTGGGGAAGTTCTATGGCCTGGGGAGGTCAGACTTGAGGATCAGACTGATCCTTTTTGGCCTTGGAATCTATAACATCTTATTTAACACATCACTGGACCATCAGTGACCAAATACAGAAAACAGAGAACTACCAAGGCTTTACCAGCACATCTGATAACATATATATGTAAAATTAAAGGCTAATCCTTCTACACACATAAGAACGGCCATACTGGGTCAGACCAAAGGTCCATCTTGTCCAGTATCCTGTCTTCCGATGGTGGCCAATGCCAGGTGCCCCAGACGGAATGAACAGAACACGTAATCATCAAGTTTTCCATCCCCCGTCGCCCATTCCCATCTTCTGGCAAACAGAGGCTAGGGACACCATCCCTACACATCCTGGCTAAAAGCCACTGATGGACCTATCCTCCATGAACTTATCTAGCGCACGCACACACACACACACACACACAC